AGATGGGGCGGCTAAAAATTCTCATCAGGACTCCTGATGCCCTTGAACTAAGGGGGCGCATCTTGGATTGATGAGGTGTAGTTTCACAAACGGGATGACTGCAAATCCGAATTATTCAGGATCCTTGATACTCTTTGACTATTGGAGCGGGCTTGGATTAATGGGGTGCTTCAAAACCTGGATCAGAAATTTGAATACCCTTACACTAATGGGGCACATCTTGAGTTAATGCTTAGTATCGATTAGCCAGGGTTGACTCGGGCTCATCCTCACCGACTTCATCCTCATGTATATGTGCAGCCCCCATGCCTCGATCAAGAGAACAATGAAGCAGCAGACTGGCGCAGGCTCTCGCGTTTGGCGCGGCTGCAGAGATTCTGTCAGCAGGTGGGTTCAGGGTTGTTAGCCCTCAGAGGGGGTTCAGCTTGGGTGTATTTCCTTGTTTGGCAGCTTCGTGGTCTGAGTAACTAGGTAGCTAGGTGCACAGATATCTTCATGGTCAAGATGCTCTGGGTCGCTAGTGAATCGGCCTTCACATGCTCAGCTTTGGAGCCGAAAATGGCCCACTTTGGGTCCCTACTTTTTGGCCATTGTCTTAGGCACGTTCTTGCTTCCGCGCTTCGGATTCGGAAGCGTGGCGTTCAGTGCAAGCTCACCATTTGGGATTGCGTGGGCTGTGCCGTTTCTGACGGTAGACGCAACGAATAAAGAAGAGATCATCTTGGGCAGGATTCTTTTCAGATACAAGGAATCTGAGGGGCCAATATGAGAGATAATCTCCTATGTTGCACCCTTGGCTCAGTAGTCTGCACAAGGAGCACGTGAATTCAGGTTCAGACTGCATGGAGCGCGGAGGATTGTTAACAGCTTCTACACTCCTATAAATCCTGACGTTCAAAAAACATGCAGTCCCGACGACTTCTGGCTACATTCAGTCCTGAACTTCCACCACCCAAGACTGTAAACTTGAAAGCCTAGTCCTAAAGCCCCCAAGCCTCAGGCTAACCTTGCTTTCATACGCTCCACGGCAGGCCGCGCCCATCGCAATGGTGCTGGTGGTGATTTGGGGCATCTACTTGCAGCACTGAGGAGAACAGAGTTAGGGATATGGACCGGGTTGAGGGTTGCCGGTAGAGAGGACCTGAAAATTCAGGATTCAGCCCATGATGCAGGGGTTGGAGGTTCTTCATAACGTTTGTTTGCGTCATGCCTGGAAACTCACAAGACATTAAGCAATGATGCTCAAGAGTGTTATGGGTTAACCCGAAAAACAGAGCTTCTGACAGCCACTTCTCAAACCCTCCACCCCCCAAAGCTGTGCAAAAAAAAACCAGTCGCAGCTCCAAACACAAACCTCAACACACTTTGGCCCGTGCGCAGGACACCTGGTTTTCCTGGAATTTTATGCCAACTGCTGAGATAGGAAGCCGTGTGCAGGCTAAAGCCTTCCGGATAAGGATGCATGGTGCTCAAGTGCAACTGATACTCAGACAGTTGTAACCTCACTGCACGGGAGGATACGAATTTTGCGCAACTTCTCACGGGTAGTGCTCGAATTGAGGAGACAGGCTTCAGTGCAGTGAAATATTGACATATCAGTTACATGTATATAAGGTCTCACATCTGAAGCTGGCAGCTCCGTATAGCCCAGGCCATGCCATGGTCACATATAGGGGCTTCCCATCCCAATAATGAGGATTATAGAATTTTGGTGTCTACATTGGGGTCCCCATATTTCGGGAAACTACCATATTGCAACATCGTAAGAAGGGCATGCCCACAGTTTCGGTGCCCAGTCTTGGAATCCAAGTTGTGCATTTTTGCGGCAATCAATGCCCTCGGTCGTGGATGGTGCATCCCCAGTGCTTTCCAAACATAGGAGGAACCAGTCCGGGTAAGAGGCTTCTTATTTGTTAAGCCCCAATGCTTTCACTCCACTGGTCGGTTGGGGAATGTGTGCCATTCGGGTGCCCCTTTCGACTCCAAAAGAAGTCGCTGCGCCCTGAAGGGGCTTTTTAAGGAACACCGCGCGACGGGCAGCCCGCAGGTAGTTTAGAGGGGCCTGTCAGGCATTCCAGTTTGTGATGTTTGTCTTGGCGCATGAGATTGAAAGGCTGTGTTGAGCTCAGGGCTGTTGTCTTACAGGGTTCAGGGCCGGGGGATTTCAAAGCTTTCCTGACACCTTGACTCGAACCACTCTAAAGGACTTCAATCTGGCTGCAGCTCCTAATCATCACCAAGGAACCTGGGGGTTAACTAGGGCTGCAAGCCGGCGAGAGCGGGCACTGCAAGAAGGAACTTTCCTGAAGTCACCACATCCACTTCACTCCTAGGAAGCCTTACGCCCGCCTTGATGCTCTCAAAGTAGGCTGCCGTCATCGTGCAAGCCCATTGATCTTGCTGAACGCGCCCGAAACATGGGTCGCGCTGCAGGGTTCGATGGGGGAGGTAAGAAGCAGCTGTGTCGCTGTTGCTTCTACACATGCTACGGGTGAATGATTTCGTCGTGTTCCGGGACTAGCCATGCATTACTGTTGCTACTTTTCGCATTCCCATCATTGCCTTTCCTCCTTGATGAAAAATGACGTCCCTGCAAGTAAAAGCTGTCCCACGGAAGCCTCAGAACCCAACAGCTCTGACTTTAATATGAAATGACTGGATCCCGCCCCTGCTAATTGATTGCAAGTGTACATTTCCCCCGGAATGGTCCCTCGAAGTACCCCTGACTTGTCAAGAGTAGTCTGCCATGATCTTCCATGATTTCAGGCGTCTGCCCAACATCAGCAGTACAAAAGTCAAGAGGTCGTTGCATGGGATAGGACCTGTGACTAGACAAGTCTATTCTCAGAGGGAGCAGACGTTCCATATTAAGGAGAGGCGACTTGGTTCCTGAGTCATCAAGCCGAAGATCAGGCCAAGGTGGAAGATATTTCAGGATTTTTTGAAAGACCTGTACAGTTCTTCATTTTCGGCCGATCACACTATATGTTAAGACCCATGTCAGGAGAAGCTGTGAATCCTTTGCCCACCCTTGCAAGAACAAGAAAAGACAGGCTTCCCCCGGAGAGCCTGGGACTCTTTTGAAGCTGCAGACCAGGAAGGTCTAGCCTCCCTGAGCTAGCACAATCGTCTTTATTCAGTAAAAACAGCGCGTTTGCTTGGGGATGGCAGTGGATGAGCTTATTTTAGGCAGGGCTATTGGGGCTCATCCACGTGTTGCGGGCTATGGAGGACAGAGTTTTGAACGGGGTTCTCAAGAGAACGGTTGGGTTTAGGGTTAGAAGTAGGAAGAAGGTTGCCGACCGCGCAACGCCACCTGGATGTGCGACGGTTCATAGCAAGCAGGTGTAAGCACCACGAGGTACTGAGAATTCACGGTGCAGCGCTGGGGAAGTTCTCAAAGCTCAAAGGTAGGGTTGTCAGATATGCCACTTTTTGTAGGTTCTTACTTTGTCACACAGTGAATCTGGGATGCTGGGTTCCGAGGATTTGAGAGATAGGTCATATGAGCAGTTTGATGGAATCTTATACGTACAGATCACAAGGTAGAGCGAGATCCTAGTTCATGCCAAAACATGCCAGGCGTTCTGTCACCAGCATACAAGAGCAGCGCAAGAAAATGGATGATGAGAAGAGGAGTACCAAAAATAATGCCAAGAATAAGAGGTAGTGGCAGAAGATTAAGAACGGGAGGAATGATTCAACTGCTAACTGCGAGACTGCATAAGAATGAGACAAGAGCAGCGGCACCGCCGCCGCCACTCCCCTCAACAGCAGCAACTTCAAGAGTCAAGACCTGCAAGAGCTTTCAGAGGTGGCGATCCTCATCTGTTTCGCCGGGCTTCTCCGGGCGCGCGTGGCGCTGGCAGCCCGCGGCTGCGGGCGCTCGAAGGGAAGGGTAATGTTGATGGACCAATTCCTTCATCACCCTCAACATACTATAGGACCTTAATATTCCTTGTCTGTGTATTATGTATATACATATGTATATGTGTATATTGGGTCGTGCAGGATTTGGTCAGTCTGCAGTAGGTGCTTGAAATGCGGTCGTGAGGGGAGATTCTCAGCTATGGTGTGCACGTAGTTATATAAGAATCTCTGCGGCTTGCGAGAGGTCAGAGTTTTTGTGTCAAAAGCGCCGGGTTTGCGCATGAATCCCGAAGCAGCAGACATTTGAATCGTGCGAGGCTGTGCCTTCAAGGAATGGGATATGTGATGAACATCTCCAGGAGGATGTGCTTCAGGTTCGAAAGGTCAGCCGCAGGCTCCATTTCCTAGACGCCCAGAATCCCAAGCCCAAACTCAAACTCGAAAGCCTTTGTATTCTGAACACCATCCCAAATCCGCAGCCGCACTGGCCCACAAGAGTCTGGATCGGAGACGGCGTTTCGGGTGGTCCCCCGGCCCTGGCTCCTTAACTTCCTGGGAGGTCGAATCAGGCCCTCGGAATCAGAATTCAAGAGGGAGGCTAGAAAGCTTTGTAAGAAATCCAGCAACCTTGAGTGTAGGAGCTTGTTATTGAGTCTATGAGGACCCCAGAGGGATCTTCCTCCACCCCATGGTGAGTATGTCTGAAAGGAAACTGGAGCAGAGGGGTGGGAGTTCACTGTGTTGGGACCCAACAAAACCCTTCAACCTTGGGCAGCCCCCGCCACGTGTCACCCTTAGGGGCTCTTGTGGTGAATCTCTGGCAGTAAGCGTCATCAAGCTTTGACTTCTGATTCCGGGCAAGCCGACATATTGCAAAGACATCCCTCCAGAATATCTACGCCATAGATCTATTATCAGGGTTTTCGGAGACAGTCCTTAAAATGCCATCAAACTTCTCGAAGAACTTTTGTTCTTACGGTTGTTAGCAGGTAGTCAGGCCATGGATTTCTACAGTAGGCGCCATTTAAGTTTTCTACACCAGTCCCGAAATTCCAGGCCTACAGTCTGTCAACGCCGTGGTCTAATGCTCAAGTTTGCTGAGTCGTGAGTCATTGCACGCAAGCAAGGTCATGGCATCTGCCTCATCAGCGGCGTTGCTGGAATCTTTCCAGGCCTTTGCAGGCGGAAACCGCACATAGGATACTTAGGCCTTTTTCAACATACTGCATTGCATTTTTTGGCAGGGAATTTTTGGTGCCTTAACTGGGTTGCAGGGAATTTAGGGCTCCTCGAAGATGTAAAGTTTAAGGCCAGGTTGGCACAGATATCGAAGGGGGATCTGCTCTGAGGGTCGAGGGTTCAGAGCCCCCTGGGTTCACAAGGGGATGCTGTATGGCAATTGTTGCAATCATCAGGGCGGGCTATCAGGCTTTGTTTCTAAATGGCTCCCAACGCGGATGATGTCTTTGAAAATGAAGGTTATATCGCAATGATGGTTGAAATGTTACTAGGAGGGTTTGGAGCTTAGGAGATCCAGGGTCCGAGTTCTTGGGCATTACCGCTTTAGGCAGGGGAAGAGTGGTGAGAATCGCGAGTTTAGGGATGTGAGGCTCTGGTGACAATTACATGTGGGGGGAGCTGACTTAGAGGGGTTTGGGTCCCAAGTTGAGCAGAGTTTGTGCTCAGTCTCTGGCATATCCAAAGTTTTTGTATGGCGTCCACCATAAGCGACAATTGTTGCAAACATAGCTGCAAAAGGACACTCCGGGGGCGTATTGGCGGGAGTTCTATTCCATGAGACTCTGCTCTCCTTTCCGATTCCCCACCGGTCCCTGGGTGTTCTTGTGTTCTACTTGCCCCGCCGGTACTCATTTAATCTTAACACGGCGGGCAACTACCCGTCTCTTCGAGTCCGTCACCGGTCCCCGATTCGCAATGACCTATCGTCCAAAGCGGGTCGTCACGTGCTTTAGCCCACCAGGCTCTGACGCCCAAACGTCAGTAGACTCGAAACGCTGAAGTCCCAACTCCTGAGCTCCATGCCTAAATCTGAACTCCTGAGCTGCAAAAACGAGCGGCCAGTCTCAAGCGAGCAATCACTTCCCAACTAGGGAGCAAGTCCATCTCCGGATTGACGCGTAGAGAAGAACTGCAGCCGCGAGAAGTAGCAATTGATATCCTATAGTCAAAAAACGGATTATGACAGATAACAGTGTTTCGTAATATGCATAGTTAGACAGTTTCATCAGCTTGCCATGGAGGAAACTTTTTTCCCCCGCAACAGCTTATCAGGTGGTCTCGAGATGGATGGCCGGACATGGGTCAAATGCTTGAAGGTGCCTCTCTAGGGACCAGTATTTGGCCTGTGGGGCTTTGGGTTGAGTGTTTTGACTATTTTGAGGGCTTGGATCCAGGGCTTAATAGAAATCTTTAGGGTGCTGGGATGAGTGGATCCTACTACAGCCCCGTACCACCAAAACAAAGGAGCCGAAGCGGGACATTTCCAAAAGCAAAGAGGCGCGCACAGTTCCTTCAAGAACACAAACCCTGGATCGATGTGGGGATTGATGAGAGTTTTGAGAGCACAGGCAGGCTTGCGGGCACTTGGCAGCGTTCTTGGCAGCTTCTTCGAAGGGGGCATGAAGCCTTTTAATCTAAAGCCTCGCGTCAAAAACTCTGGACCTACAACTTACGAACTGAATCTTTCCGCCCTGAACATAGGCCTGTGACGGCCTGTGAGGTGACCTGGACAGTGGACAGCCCCTACAAACCTCCCAGCAGTAGTCCTGGGTATTCGTTGGGGGTCAACCTCACAAAGCCTTTGGCCTGCATTTTCTACCCTCAAAGTCCCTGACTGCGGGCTTGTGAACCTTGCGCAGGACTCCATGCTCCTGGATGAGGATTTCACTACCGTGGACGCGGACCTCATCTTCGCGCGTGTGAAGACCAGGTGGGCCGTGTTTCGGGGTCGCAGAATTGGAACACTGCTCCAGCTTTGTGACGAGTCTTTAGGGATCCTTACAAGGAGTGCAGGTTGCAGAGTCTCAGTGGCCTGGTTAATCAATGCACGCTCCTACATGGGCTACATCCAATACTTTCAGTTGACTACAGCACCAGGCGCTGCTAGCGCTGAAGTCGGATTCTACCATGCTTGGTCAACATCTAAGTTTGTTACTTGACCCCAAACACTGCCCTTCTCACCTGCAGAAGAGTCATGCAGAGGTAGAGGCCCTTTTGTTCCCACGTATCTCCCTCCACGCAGGGACTTCGCGCATAGGACGTACTGGTTCCTACTGCGCCTCAGGTTGCGTAGGTGTGACACGTCTTCTAAGCTCTGCAATGACTACACTGTATACGTTTCCCAGGGGCACCCGCAAGATTGACTACGCGACTTTCCGGCGAGCGCTGAGTGAGGTCCGGGCTCAATGCTTGGGGTGTGAAGTTGGCAAGCAGGGGTTACTGACCAGGTTATTGAAGGATTTTGATTTGATGAACCTGGGTTCAGGGTTTAGCGTTCTTCAGAGATTAGGGCTAAGGAATCTATGTGTTCATGGGCACACGGTTCGGGATCTCTGGCTGTTCGCATCCGCATTTCGATGGGGGCCTCTTGCCTCTTGGCAGCTTCCATGTCTCGATTTGTCTGGATTGCGTCTTCTCTAAAGGAGCCAAGCATGATTCCTTCATGAAGACCAACGACAGCCAGCAGAATTTGGGGTTGTTAACGCTACAGCCCAACTTGAGACCTGGCAAACTCGGAACCCTGCACCTCCAAGTCAAAAACTCAAGAACCCACACTCCAATCCCCGGCCTCATACTTTTAACCCCAAACCTACAATGCTACAGGTGGCCAAGAAGTGGCAGATGTCCCAGGAGCAGGCTGCCGGCCTCTAACGTCTTTACAGGATTCTTGGTGGTATGTCAACAAGTCAGGGTCCATGTTTGAGGTGTGCTGATAGTCATGACCTGTATTTCATTATGTATGCATATGCTGCATCATCTGGGGAAAAGCACCTATTTGCCCTTGACATAACCTGAGAGCGGTTGGAGGGAACGGGAGGAACTGCGCTCCTGCTGTAGGATTTATTTGAGCTATAGTCCAAGCTCCTTATAGGCCAATATACATGTATTATAGGGGTACGTACTAGGAGTTCAGACTATAGCTTATTTGAGCTTCCAGATTGTAGCTGCTCACAGGACCGTTTGGTCAGGATGGAGGATGGATTTGCAGACCTTGACTGTGCAAACTACAAACGTCTGCTGCTACCCAGTTCCATAACGTTCACCGATTCCGTTTAACCTTGCTTCCAACATGATTCATCCCTTTCATGATGCACTTAAAACTATTAATGTTTCCTTGTGATATAGCTTTCCTTCTGTCTTATCTTCAGGCCACAAAATATTGCTGTATGCACGAGGTACTTTAATTTTCAGAAACACCCATCCTGGCAGTCAGCAGGTGGAGGACATCATCTGCCTTGCAGCGGGTCCCCATTACGAGAACCAGCCGCAGGCTGACGCTTCGGGGAATCTTGATATAGTTGATTTGAGCGTTCAGACTAGACAGCAAAGAAGAAGTTTCAGAGTACTGAGCTTGCTTGGTGCGACCAGTTGCTTGTATTCCGGCTAGTTTAAGGGTTACCTTGAGGCAAAGGGGGAGTGGGGTCATTGGAAATATGAACGACGAAGGTTAAGCCCTTATCCTGCAAAACATGAACAAAAGGGGTTGGAGCCTACAGCTCTCAGAGACACAATGTGTAACCCCTCTAAACCTGTGTGAGCCATGCCAGCATGTTGTATTTCAATACTTCCGTAGTTTCCATTTTCTTTTCCATTATCCCTATACCCCATAGTAGTTTCCATTTTAGTTTCCATTATCCCTATACCCCAAAATACAACTCCAATATAACCATGAGATGATCAGTGCAGGAGCTTCAGGCCAACGAGTTTAGGATTTCCAGTCACTGCACGTTGCATCTTTCGGAATGCGTGGCAGGTGCCAGAGCCTGGCATTGATGATCCCTCTGGCCCCCAGCGATTCTATTATGACATGACGCTGTACACAGGCGGGGGTCGTGGCTAGTGAGGCTTTGGGCTCACGTTTGGTCACGCGTTTCTAGTTTTGTACTACGACCAAATTCCGGTACGACGTTCATTTGGCCTTGTAAAACGTCTGTCACGGGCGTGTTTACTCTCCCTTGTTAAGCCCAAGCAGTATGTTGCTTCACGCACGTCGGATTTTGCCAGGCAGTGTGTTCTAAAGTGCAGTGGGGAGACGGACATACATCTCTGCCACGCAGCAGTTTTTAGTGCTATCAGATAGGACGCTGAATCCACTAAAGCTCAAGGTGGTAGAGGCGGTTTTGCTAGTCCTGCGAGAGTGTGTGTGGTCTTAGAGTCAATGAGGTGTGAAAGCTGTGAGATCTATGGAATTCTATCGGGCTTGTATAGGGAATATTGCATCAATGGAGAATGACATGGAAAAGAGAACGGACATGAAATGGAAACTGCACCTGTATAGGGGTTCATATAGCTCTGAATCCTAAACCCTAAATCCTAAAACCTAAATCCTGAACCCTAAATCCTAAAACCTGAGTCCTAAACCCTGAACCCTCAACTCCAAAGCCCTGAAGCGAGAGGGGCTTGCATCATCAGCTTTTGAGCTCGCCGGGCTTTGACTTCCCAAGACCCCTTTTTTCCTCTGATCTACCCAAAAACTGGGTCCAGGGCCCTGAGCTCTGAATCCTAATGTAGAAGCCTAAATGGTATAGGATACCTCATTTATAGACTTCAACATGATATGGGTGACTTCAAGATGATCATATCAACGCCTTCGTGGACCCAGTTCTGTTCCATTTTCCTTCTTCTTCCGCATTTCATTCTGCATTCTTGGGGTGGTAGACACTAGATGGCCTTTTTCTGACCTTGTATTACACCCTTGGGCCTGATCTAGTGGGGGTAGCACATGTGCGTACAAAGGGGGCATGTCAGGGCCTGTTACTAGGTCAGGGCTGTTCCTAGCCATAAGCCTGAGGTTTGTCATCTCGTGCTTCTCAGGTGTTGTTGGGGAGTACGGAGTCCCAAAATGGTGAACACACGGTATAGTATAACTTATCCAAATCCTGGCCCTAGCCTGTAGATTGTTCACACGTGATCAGCGTTTGGACAGTTGCATGCCATCTGGGTGCTAACCTTAAATCCTAACCCTGAAACATTACAACATGACCAGGGACGCACAAGTACGGCGGCCCCAGCCTGGTGGGCAACGGCATCGTGGAGGGTGCCCCCGTGAACTTCCAGGAGCCAGGGTTTTCAGACTGGCGGGGCTTTCTGTTGTTTGGGGTTTCCTGCCTTGAGGATTTTTTAAGGTTATTTAGGCTTTGGGGTTAAGATGCCTAGGCCTAGGCTTGAAGTTGCAAGCTTGAGGATAGTAGGATGCCAGGCTGAGGCTTCAGAGCAAGACTTCCATGCTTTAGGAGGGTAGCTCCCTTGGGTAGACAGAACGCTGTGTGCGGGGCTAGGTAGATAGATAGACCACTGGAAACGGGCAGGCGGTTGTAGTTGTGATTGTACTGGAAGCTACTGCGAGCCTTCAGGACATACCCTGTAAGTGGTTTGCCTTCTAGGGTTTCAGGGCCTGGAGTTTGAAGGGACTGTCATAACAAAAATTCCACAGCATGGTCATTCCATAGAAGATCTCTCAGGCCTAAGGATTTTGCAGCGGGATGTCTTGCTCAGGAGGTCTTTCAGTTTCTGAAAGGTGTGGGATCTCAAACAGATTCATCTCAAAGCTGGGTGTAACATTCTAGCTGCCCAGGAGCATGTCAATCGGGACAGGGACAATGAGGCCCGGAGTTTGATGAGGGCCACTCTTGGGGTGTAGGTTGTAGACTCTTCAATCCAGACGGTTAGGGTGTGGGCTTTGAGGTTCAGTGTTGAGGGACAGCGATAATTCGGGGTTCAACGTTTGCACTTAGCCCTGAACAAGGTCTTTCTCTAATTACAGAAGGCCAAACATTGCTGCAACATTGCGGTACAGCACATGCACATGCTCATGGAAACACCTTGCGGCTGCCTTGTGAAAGTCCTGTCTCCAAAGTGGCTGGAGTGAATTGAGTAGAATTGTTTTTTTGGCAGTGCGACAGCCGCAAATGTAGAATAAGATCACATTATCCTTTAGGGTATGGTATTTTATGAGAAGCATTTTTTCTTACTGGGTTCAACCTCCCTAAAGAAGCTACTCAGCTACTCATTTGGGCTTGTTCAGGGGACACTCCGCGAAGTAGCTTCTTGTCGTAAATCCATGATGGCCAGATTCCGTTAGCTGATTTGGATTTGTTCATTGTATCATGCGCTTCAGCTGACATGCAATCCCCTGCTTTGTTTCTTGTTTAACGCTGAGTCGCTAGCGTGACCCTGATGGTATCATCAGCCGAAGCCATAGTGCAAGAGCCTTGAACACCGAACCACAAAGCCCTAAACCCTGAGACCTGCACTCTACACCTTTCGACATGCCTGACACAGCCTGAACGTACCTGCTTGAAACCACAACGTGTCATTCTGGACCGGTAGGTTCTTTAACGCTTCCTCAAAACCCTTGAAGCTCTGATCGCGAGGAAGTCCCACTGATGATCCCCACGACACCTCGGAACCCCTCTACATCACCATTATCGCCCCTCTGTGAGTCTGCATAGTCCTGGAAACATCTGTTTCCATCTTACTCTCCGCCGAACCTAATTAACATGCAATCCCCACCATGGCGGGGTTGCATATTATCTTGAGGAAGGGTGTCCTTTTCAATCTTTGCAGGTTGCTGCTTCTGCAGAGCGCAGGCGCCGGGCGGTGCTGGGCGAAGAGGGCAGCGCGGACCGCCGTTTCTGCTGGTAAACTCCCGTTTTCATGGTTGGGGTCTGGGGTGCCAGTTCTTGTGTAGTTCCGTGGTCTGCTCATTTTTCATTTTGTAGTAAGGAGGTCCATGAGTGTTGAGTGTTCCCGACTACTTGCAGGAGCATAAAAGCAGTCTGAACTAGCTCTCTGATTATCACCGTCATCACTGCTGTCGTCTTCGTTGCTCAGTCATACTTGTTCTGGTACTGATTGTGCCCCGCACTTTGTGCTCAGTTGTCCAAGCGCTTGTACAGTGTAATGCGCAAGTAGTTCTGCATTTTAAGTTGGTATTTGCCTTGATTCTACTGTTGTTGAGTGCCTGGGGTCTCCAGAAGGGTGCTGCGACCCAAACAGATTTTCGCTTCTGCCAAGAGGACTGCAACTCAAGTCATGGGCAATCACACGCACTTTGGAATTTTTGAAATCATTGTCGGGATTAATGTGTTCATCCCTGCGGAGGAGCAGGGGCTGAGGCCAGTAGCATCCCAAGTAGAAGAGATGCCGCAACATAATTCCTCACCAAGAACTACAGCTGGCTGAGGTTTTGCCTCCAAAAATCTCGTAAAGGCGCGAGGCTCTGTAAACTCGATGAATCCCTCCCGGCCCCTGATGAGCCAGCAACGAGCCTTACAAGATCTCTTCGGAGCCTTTAAAACGCGCATGGAGCTTCATAAGATTCGTCTGAAGTGCGCTGTAGGGAGGGAAGAAGGCTCCAGCTAACATCCCCAAACTCGCCCAACCTTAGCCCTAATTCCTAAACCAAGTAACTCTGAACTCTAAGCTGAAGCTGACATGGAGCAGCCCATAGGAGATGCCACGCCTCCTGGGAAAGCCGCGCTCGCCCCCACCGCAGCGCCGAGAGCTGCCGAAGGCAGGCTCTCCAGCTCACTAGGCCTTGTGGGTCGATGTGCTGCTTGGGTTCAGGTGATTGCAGGGCATGCATGGATATTATTGGGGTTCACGCCCCCAAATTTGTCGCAGCGATCTGATGTGGCCAGGTCCGTGCCGTGCTAGTGGTACTCTGGCACCGCATTATAGAAGAATCGCATCGTTCATATGCCATATCTCCTGCATCCTCCCGAGGGCAAGAAGTCTATCCACAAATGGACCGATAATTCCGAGAGTAACCCACATGTCCCCTATGTAGTTTCTTGCATCCCAGGGCCGCCGCCCAGTGCCCGTGGCGCAGCTGAAGGGCCCCGAGCGCTTCTTCTACGATAAAGCCAGCTACACAGGCCGCGGAGTACAGAAGTTTAGTGGGGCAGGTTTACTGTTTCAGGTGTTGGGCTTTGGTGGTGCTTGCTGGCATACTCAGCATGAACAGAGGATGAGCTTAGGCAGCAATAGGCATACTAGTAAGTGTGGAGGTTCTTTTGGTATTTGCGGTTTGCTCTTGAACTGTGGGCCTTAGCTGGCAAATGGTGTCTCTGCTGCTGCTGCTGCGGCAGTGGCGGCAGGGGCGGCGGCTCCTACACCATCTTCATTTGATCGTGGCTAAAGATTAATGATGTTCTAATTAGTATTTGTAGAGTTATGGAAACAGTCTGAAAAGGGACGGTGGAAAAATGATGTGGGGAAAGTTTAGCACGGCGCTTCTAGCTCACCTTCTTTCTTCATGCCCACCTTTTTTGTCTCCTCTGGGCGTCGCCTTCTGCCTTGTTGCTTGCAGTCCACTTTCTCTTTGCTTTTGCAGCTTCAACTCTTTGCACCTCACTTTCTTTCCGTATAGCTTTTCGCCTTTTGATTTTAACATTTTTTCAAACCTTTGGGGTATCGTTTTTTCATAAACATTTTTCTTTTCATCTTTTTGATGGTTTCCGGAAATACCACTAATGGAACATCATAACTCAACATGTTCGTTCCTCCTCTTCCTCCTCTTCCTCCTCTTCCTCCTCTTCCTCCTCCACCGACTTCTTGCAAACCTCTAACACTCCAACACCTACCGACTTCAAGGCCTGAAAATCTCCACGCAATCCCCCCCCATGCGTGTTCTCGAAACTCGGAAGCTTGCTGGCAACTCTACCCCAAAAGCTTCAAGCATTAGGCCAATAAAGCTCTTGCTGCTAGGCACTCACAAGCATGGCGGGCCCTCGGTTACGGGCAATGGCCTCCCCAAGCAGGGCTATGAGGACCTGAGCAGCTTGCCACAAGCTGGTTGCTGGCTTAGGGTTTAGTCGCCAGGTTCTGCAGTTTGCTCTTACTTTATTGGACCCCCAAACTACTGTACTTACTATTGGGGGGATAGGCGATCTCGCGTAGTGCAAGATTCCCTCCATCCACGGCAGGTAGTTGTCGTACCAGTAGTAGGAAACAACGGTCTGGGGCTTATACTCAAAAAGTCTGCCGGCCTGCTGAAGTGGCACACTTGTGAAGGCCTTGGGCTTCTGGACAACTCGTGTAAGCCTTCAGGGGCCTCTCAACCCCGAGCCTGTGACTTGAAACCCAACGTCTGCAGGCGTTAAGCCTTCAAATCTCAACCCCAAATCCTGAAGCCTAAGCCCACAGTACACCCTCAGCCCTAAGCTGTCCTCCTTAAAGCTTAACCTGAAACCATAACTCAAAACTTTCAAGTTGAAACCCCAAGCCCAGGTTGGTAGTTTACTACCAGCATGTCCGTTTGATTGTAGTCTCTTACAGCAAGAAGGTACTCCTCCTTCACTACCAAAAGCCTGCCCAGGTGAGCTCGTGCGCCGAGATCATGTAGCGGCCCCAGGGCATCAAACAACGGGTCCCTTACGGGCTTCTGCTGCTTCTAGGTGGGCGTTTTCAAGGTTGTTGATGATTGTTGCGGTCCTTATGATCCGTCTTGGTTCCTTGGAGCTATATAGGTGACTGCTAGATAGCTTCTGAGTCTGAGTGCAAGATCTGCTGCGGACGCATGATGACTGCTGGGGGGAGCCGGCAGCAGTGGGTCGCCACTGAAGCGTTGCATGAAATTGCTGCACAGTTTTGCCATGCTACGCAGAACCCCATGGACGATTCTGAGGTTCAGTTTTGCAGGTGCGTTTGTTGTCGAACCCAGAAGCCCTTCTGGAAGCGTGGTCCATCTTGTGTACGCAAATTGTTTTCGGACAGCCCTGATTCAAAGGCCCCCTCCAAAAGGGAACCCCTCGTGTTACGAGAAAATCTACCCCTGGCTTTTCATGAAGCTCAACTAGGGGGGGTTCTCGAGCCTTGGCCCAAAACTAATGCCCAGACGATATTCCCCAGGCAGCAACTGTAAATGCACCCCAAAACAAGGCGCGAGTTTTCCAATATTGGGCTTTGGTAAGACGCGTCAGGTGCAGGACGATGAGCTTCATAGGCACCAGCGCATGCACGGCGCCTACGTGCAGGACCTGGATCACGCGCTTTGAAATGTCTCTTACGCACATCACGGAGAAAAATGTGTAAACGACTGAAGTGAGCTTCCATGTTTTGTTCCATTTGCAGCGTCACGGGAGAAGCAAGCGGAGACTATTATGAACTGTTACAACATATATAGGCCCAAGGTTCGAAGGGGATGCTAGGATTGAAGGTCTCTTGCTTCGCTGGTGATACATATGTTCAGCATGTCAGTTTTCTGGATGATGCTTTAAGGACTTGCGTCGTCCCTGAGCCTTCGAATCCTTGACCATAGCCCTGGACTACCCTCTGCGAAGCTAACGTGGAAACCCAAGAAAGGTTCTGCAAGGACTTCTGTCCTTTTGAAGAGTTTTTTTGGCATGTTTTTTAAGGGGAGGGTAAGCCCACAAGCGGTATTCTTGCCAGGACGAGTTTGGCAACACCTTCCCAGTTACGGAAGCCCCTGGGCGGCAGGCTAGGCAACCTGACGGGTCAGCAAGAAGGGCATCTAACAATTGCATACGTTTTCCATTAGGTGGTTTCCCAGGCGTGTTCTGGGACAATGAAAGCTTTCTGATTTTCATGCTTTCTAAAGGATATCACAAGATTACATAACAAGCGCACACATTCGGCCCCATGAGTCAGTGAGTCTCTATTACGGAAGCGGCGCCTTAACTGGTGGTCTGCTCTTTGTCTTGCATTTCAAGGATTGAACATTCAGCGGTTTATGTGACAGTCGTTTGTATCCTTTCGCAACTTGAGTCCGCTGCCCAAGTAAGCATATCTGTGCGCCACCTGAAGTCGCTGTGTGCTCACTCGTGATTGTACTATATCCTTTTTACTAGGACACCGCTGCTACTGGAATCAAAACTTGGGCATGCGACCATCAGGCTGTTCGTCGGCCCCAGGATTTTGCATGGCACCGCAACGACTGACCTTCGTGCAGGTTGCAGCTGAAGGGAGCAAGGGCCAAACCTATCCCCTGTGAGGCCTTCGCAGCATCGATTGCGCACTTTTGCCAGCAGTGTAACTCTTCCTGTGGACCAAATAAGAATTGTTTTAGCCTCATAGCCTTCAACCGTAGTCCGGGCAACCCTAACAGGCCAACTCACCTACTCCCCGTGGCTGAGGACTATCGCCCATTCCTGAAGGAGGCTGCAGCGGCAGGCCCTAGCTCCAGGCAGGGGGTTCTCGTGTTTGGGCTTTGAAGGTTTGGGTGCCGAGATTTAAGGGCTGGCTTTGAGCTTTCAGCCGTATGGAACACTCAGGTAGTCAGGAGGTGGGACGAGAATTCTTCTCAGCCAAACCTTGTCCTGGGCAATATCCGTAATGCTGGCCAGAGCTCATAAAAAGAGCTGATGTTGGAATTCAACTGTGGCGTTGTGGCTGTAAGTAGCCCTTGATCTGCTCTCATCCTGAACTAGATGGCAAGGATTTTCGGGACCATGACGTCGCAACAACCTCTAGGCTTACATCTGGTGACTGATGGATTGAAGGAAGCTTATAACTTCTCAAGTGTACGTCCTGCAGCGAAGCCTTCTTCCGCAAGTCTCTCAAGCTCGAAGGTACATGAAGCCTGGACCGCAGTCCCCAACCAGGTTTTTTGCCCCACACAATCAAACACACAAACAGTCTCGCGGATCCTTTGCATAATTCGTTTTTCTTGGGTTTCAACTTTCAACCTGCCTTAAGCCCAAGCGTGACATACTGCGCATTCACAGGCCACACGTGACAGCCCCGAAACTTGGGCTGGAAATGTGAAACCGCAGACCTTACTGGCGTTAACTCGTCTCAAAGCACATCCTTAACAAGCTTTCAAAATCACATGAAATTATCTAGAAGCTAGAAGCAACTCGTGCAAGAAGAAAGCTCATAAAATCTCACGTATTGTCAAGAACGATTATTGAGCTGTGTAAACCTCAGACTATTCTGCAGAGATTCTTTTGCTTGCGCTTGCAAAGTATTGACTTCCAACAGACCCGGAGGAGAGCTGGAAAAACTTGCATGACACCTTGCAAGCCCTACATACCCACACATAACGCCAAAGGAACGTGTGACAGAAGCCTTCATCGCATTCCCAAGACAATCTACCAGGCTGAACAGTCTTACGAGCTTGCAGTAGCTGTGCAGCAGAATTGATATTTATTAAGATCAGGCTTACCAACATCACAGTGTCCTGGTTCTAGAGCACTCTCAGAAGGGACCCCAGCCCATCCGCACCCCTAAGCCTGAACCCGAAAATCCCAAGCACCCTAAGCCCTTGTCCCTGAGCCCCAAGACCTGACCCCAACTTAAGCAGGGGGACCGCTGCGAGTGCCTCTGCGGAGCTGCCCACACTGCTCGGCTCCCCGCGGCGGCGTGCGGCCGCGGCACCCCCGCAGCTCCAGCAGGTGGAGGCCCACAGATCTTAGCGAGGGTTTATGGTTTGAGGGTTGAGCCAGTTAGTTTAGGTTGGCAGGAACGGGTTTGGCGCCTAGGGTTCCTTCAGCCGTGGCAGTATTGGGGTAGCGGGCGGCTAGCATTAAAGTTGTGGTTCTTCCACCTAGTATCGCAACAAACTAAGTAGAGCCATCAAGCTTCTGCATATATACAGGTCGTTTGCAGAGATTGGCCGTACACAGCATGTTTAGGGCTAGGGTTTCAGGTTTTGGTTTCGGCCCATGCATGATGTATCTTCCGTGGCTTCGGCTTCAACATTCCACTGCAGATCCTCTTTGGGTTTGGTATGCACGCTTTGGTTGGGATTTTTGTTGGGGCCCCAAAACAGTGCTACGTGGGAGGGTATGGGTAGGATCTGGATTCCAGGATCAGATCAGAGTCCAGTTTCTCAAGCACAAGAAATTGCCAGGACATAGCTTGCGGCTACAGGGTTGTCATGACTAATGCGTTTAAGTTGGTAGGCATCTGTGTGATTAGACCTATATGTTCTCCACTTTCTTCCAGAACAAGATGACGAATTTTGGCAGGAGTTTGCGTTTTTACGCTGCTACTTGCTTGCTATCAGTGCTATAGTCACTGCGCTGTGGCCAGAACACCGGAAAGTCAGCTAAAAGGTCCGATCAGAACGCATCCAAGCGATACGTCCTCTGAAGCCCCCTGAAGCTGCCTATACGTGCTACACCCTAGCCCCTTCCCCTTGTAATGAACCTCCCCACCGTTAAGAACAACGATCCCCTCCATTGTGTACTGGCGAGGGGGGGCTGGAATTGAAACCTTTGCAGATACTGGCACAGGTCTCGATCAAGCAGGCGCCGCCCTACGAGGCATGGCCAATGCAGTCGCAGCCCGTCGCGCCCTCAACGTTTGCAAGGTTTGGGGCATCAGTGTGAGCGCTCATGCTCCGGGTCCAGAGTTCAGGGCTTATGCTTTGGGGTTTGGGGCTGCGGGTGTTGAGGATGGAGCAAAAATCTCCTTTGCTCGAGTTCATGGGGGGTTCAACCTAATTCGGATAGAAGTGGATCAGCCACTTTGAAAGCAAGGGTTCAGTGAACCCATATCATGAGGTTGCCTATCTTTTATCGGGGCTGTTCGCCCCTAAAAAGTCTCCTCGGAGGTGTACCGCACACTTGTCCATGTTTGCATCAGGTTAATCCAAGATTTGGCGAGCACACGGAGCAAAATCCCACATCAGGAGAAAAGTTCATTTTGCATTTGGACCCTGCTCTCTTCTAAGAAAAGAGTCCTGCAGGGAAGTATCTCCAGCGATGAGGGTGAACAACATTCTTGCTGTAGAAAAGGAAACATGGTTTCGGCACACTTGCGGGTTGATTGTATTCTCCCGGCTCACAAGCATACGCATAATGCCTCTCTTGAAGGCACCATAGTCTTTCTAAGCTCCCATCTTTGAGGTGTAATGTTAGCTTGGTGAGCTTATAGAAACCGGTGCAAAATGCAGCAGGGGCTGCACCTGAACTCAGTTTAGATTTTTGGGGCTTTTCTTCCCTGTGGGCTAGAACACATGCCCCAACCTGCCCCGCTTGGAGCGGGGGCTTCTCAGCATGATGGACCCCCCAAAAGCGCTAAGACTTCAAAGTCCACAGCAGCTTTGCCATGTTGATCATCCTGAGAGCATAAGAACAAGTCAAGACAGCGCAGGCTACTTCCTTGCATCACTCATGCCCTATCTGCTACAAGGGGAGTACGCCTTTGAGCAGTGCCGAAGAAATACTTGGGGAGCAGCAGCCTGTATCTCTCTACATCCGCGACGTCCCAGGGCAACCGTGTCTCAACCCCTGAACGCCAAACCCTGAAATCTCGAAGCCCGAATTCCAGTCCTGAGGCACAAGTTCCCTGAGCTTTAAAGTCCGTCCGCAAGAACATCCTGCCTGCAACATCGGTACCACCTCCCCCCTGAAGTGCATACCAGGTTGCCCACAAGGTGATCCGCACCGAAAGTTCGGGTTGGAGCGCGTCAGTGCCAGGCGGGCAGTTTTGCGGTCTTAGGGTAAGGGTGTTTTGAGCCCTGAGGCCTCAAAGCCTCAACCACAAACCAGAGACGTTACGCTGAAAATCCTAAACTCCACTCGTCCCTTGTGAGCGGAGGCGTCCCCGGCGCGGTGATCTCGCCGCAGGTGACTCCTCAGGCCTGGGAGAGTCGAAGCCCAAAGAAAAGACGTGTGCCAGCCTCATGGCAAGAATCTTTGACTATAATCTCTGTGTAATCCTTGACACATCCGTTATACACCCCAGAGCCCATATCAGCACGAACCAACCCGTAAGACCAACCTTGCCTTTGACTTGCTTCAACTCTCTACATTCGGCCCTGCGCATTCGGAAAAGAGTAGTCATCTAATCCCTCTAGGGTTGACATGGCAGGGAGCTGTGTAGCTATGTGGGCATTCATGGGAATCATGGGAAGTTTAAGACTTTCGCGGGGCATTACCGGAATTGCCAAGGGCATCGTAGGAATTATGCAGGGCCCC